TATGGTTCATATCCTATACTCCCAATCCCTGCCAGGCACTGCTCCAGCTCCCTCCCACGGGAAGGGTCCTAATCTCTCTGTCTCATCACCCTCAAAGGTACATCTGGTGGAAACATGGGAGAAGTCCTTCTTGGTGGCTGCTCCTAGGCTTTGGAACGCCCTTCCTAGAGAAGGCATGCTGGTGCTCTCCTTGCTATCTTTCTGTATCCTTCTTTGAGGATAGTTTGATAATAGGAAAAGAACCCTTCATAATGTGCTGTACAGTCTCAGACCATATTTGTCATTTTTCTATTTTAATAGGCCTGCTTTTAGTTCTATTGATAGTTCAATTATATTTTAACTTTTATACAGTGCGTATAAAAGTTATACCACTATCTGTTTTAACTTTGTACACCATCTTGAATTGCAGGGCTGAGGGGAAAGGCAGGATAAAAACAATGAAATAACATATACTTAAAATTTCTCAGGGTTTCTGCATTGTCCTTGCCTGGCCCCACAAAGCTTTCCAATAGGGCTGGGAACCTTCCTAGGAATTGAAGAGAAGACATGAATTGGACACATCACTTGGGAGGTTTTGCTAACAGAGCAAACTGGTTATGTTCAGGTGTTGCTTTAATGTTGCTTTTGTTTTGCTTGTTTGCTCTTTCCATCTCAACCCGATGAGGCAGTCTTCTAGTTGGTAGGCAGCTATTCTACTTAACCCAACAACCGTTTAACTTTCCTCTCCAAATTCTCATTGTGGTGCTTCCCAATTTTCCTTCAAGGTGGGCCTGTGTGGAACTGGGATGTGGTCCATTCAACACATGGAAGCTAGCTCTCTGATCTGCAGGTTTCTGTGATATCACAGCAGCTCAGCTAAAGGCTGAGGACTAGTAGTCCAAAGGGAAGCAACCATTCTGCCACATTCTCTTCTTATATTTCTTTTTGTACAAATTAGCACAATTATGGTTATGCCCTTCACTCTTGAAAAACCTTATTTTTGTGTTTTGCCTTGGCAGACATGAGCATTACCAACAAACCTTTTTTAAGGAACAAAGAGGTTTAAGAAACAAAGAGAACTCCCACTGGGAGGGAGGCAACTTGCCTTCTCTCCTCCCTCAAAGCCTCAAAGAGAATCCAGCCAAAAGCAAGGGACACCTTTCACCTTTTAATTATTACCAGTCTCAGACTGGTACAAAATGAAATATAGATATAGATATATGTTAAAAAAAAAAACACATTTCAGTGCAGCAAAGACCACACAGCATTATTGCTCATCACAAACAGCTTTGGCTTTTCAGAAAAGGTGGGGAAAAGAGGGGCAACAGACTTCCAGGAATGTTCCAGACAGGACTTCTTAGCAATTCATCATCTTTGAATGCTGGTGCAGGCCTTCTTATGGCTACCTGTGCATGTGCAAACTCCATCACAGGGGAGAAGGACACCCAGCGCCCTTGAAGAGCAACACTGAAAAGCTTGGAAGTTTCTTGAGGAGAGGTGGGAGTCATGGAACAAAGAAAGGCAATGGGGGAGGGAGCACATCTTTGGTGAAGGCAAGGGGGAAATGTGGCAGCAAATCCTCTTGCTCCCACCCCTCTGGACTTGCTCCATGGCATTGTGCTAAGCCTTGCACTCTTGTGTGTAGCACAGAACACAAGGCACACTAATGGACGGTCCTGGTTCAAACAGCCCAGATCTGTACCCAGACCTAAGTTTGTCCCACTTGGTAAACAGGACAGCCAACATTGCTTATAAACAAGACGTGCACCTTCTATAAGGCTTCCTCAGAAACAGCTGCTGCTGGTGCCAACATCCACTTCACCAGTCACAAAGGGGGTCAGAATGAGGTTTCACTGAGTCGCTGTCGGGACGGAGCCAGTGGGAGGCTTGGGGGTTCTGTGGAGGCCTGGCTCGGGTTGGGGGTTCTTTGGACTGCAGGACTGGCACTGAGCCGCACATGCCTGGGTCTGGTCCCCAGTTCCCTAGGGCGGTTGACCCACAGACTTTCTGGCTGAGCAAACTCGGAGGAGGAGGAACAACGGGCCAGTTCCTGACACCGCTCAATGAAACTCCCACTCTGACGTCTCCTGTCGAGGCCTCCTCGTTGCTGCAAGTCAGGCTGGGTCAGAGGCTCACGACTCAAGCGACAGGAGAGGGCTGGGGAGGCCCTGACTGGCTTCTCTCGAGCTCCATCAACGCTTTGGAACTGGAGGCTGCTGAGAGAACAAAGGTGGGTTACAATTTCCAAAGGGGGATGTATGGGAGCTGCATCAGTCTGCTGTTGGAAAGACAAGGGAACATCTTGCTATGGCCCCTTTGGATTATGATAGCATGAGCCTCGAGGACAACAGTTCATTTCACCAGAGACAGGGAATGTTAAGACAGAATTTCAACTTTCCCTCCCTCTACATTACAGATTTAAGATTCCATACAAAAAAACTCAAACAGAGCACAGCCCTATGTATTCTCCCAAATTAGAGGGCAGACATTTCTCAGTTCATCCTGCTGTCCCTGTGAGTGAGGCAGAGCTCATAGGTAGGTTCACTTAGAAATCTGGAATCTCCAGCCTTAAGTGTGGGCCAGGGTTGGGGGAGGGATTTTACGAACCTCCCACTCCCATCAAACATATGGTGCAACCAGTCCCTACCTGGCACTGGCAGCCGAGGGAAGATGTGTGGGGGAGAAAGATCCAGCTGGGCTCATCTCGAGGGTATGGGTGAGTGCCAAGTCACACTGTTTCAGCTCCTGCAGAAGCTCCTCCTCTGAGAGGCCACCTGTATCTGAAGAATGGAGGCAGAGAACCTGAGCGTTTATTGGCACATCAACATACATGGTGGGGGAAGATGTGCCCTTGGGCAGGGGCTATTCAGCCAATCAAAGTCTCCTGGGAAGGCCTGGTGCTGTTCTTCAAGCAGCCAATGGTGCCACCCTCCATAAACACAAGCATTCCCTTTAGGGCACTCTGCCCATCATCCCACAGCCCGCCCTGGGTACCTGGCACTTGGTCTACCATCTCCATGGCAGTGGTGAGGTCCCACATCTGGAGGCTGCCATTGCTGTGGCCAGTGAAGAGGTAGCGGCGTGGGCGGGACCCAATGCGGCTGGAGCCCTCACACTCCTGAACCATGAAGGCTGTGATGGGAGAGCCGTCCACGGAGCACACTTCGCAGACCCTGTCATAAGGGGGGAAAGAATAGAAGCCCTGGGTATCCAACTCAGGAGCAGGCAAACTGACAGGGGAGACAAATGGGCAAGATTGCCGAGGGGTGACTTTGCCCCCCCCAACAGCCTAGCCCAACAGGAGGATACTTTAAGGTTCTCAGATGTACTGCTCCCAATGTGCTGCTTGGATTCCAAAGTAGCGAGAGCACTCCAGAGGTCAGAGACGCATGGCACACATCTCTTCCAAAAGCCACTGGAGGGAAGTCTTTTACATGTGTTGGTGGAAAGCAGGTTTCCTGAAAAGACTGGCCAAACTGTCCATAGCCAATCATCTGTCCATAGCCAAAGAGCTGTCCATAGCCAATCATCTCAGTACCTTAGCACTTAGTGCTTACACAAAGAACACTGATGTCCCTTCCCACCCCTATACTGTGGGACTTCGTGCCCTCAAGTATGATGCTGAATCTTAAGCAGGGATGGGCACAGTGTGCCTTGCTTGCAAGCCCCTTTACCTTAGTTCTGTAGTTCTTGAAGCTACCCCAAGTCTCCCAAAGCAACACAAGGTTCCAATTTTATTTATTTTTAAAAAATAATTTAGTGTGATTTGTGGGCAATGCTTTTGAAAAGCTGTCCATATGCATGAAGACATGAAAATATCCCACTCTGAGCCCTGTACACTCCCCAAATACCATTTTTTTCTTCTGCAGTCCCTCTCAAAATAGCGACACAAAGTGATGGGACATCACTTGCTCTTACCATTTTGAGGACTGCAAAGGAAAACAAAGGCGCTTGCCATGTGGGGGAGTGTGGCCCTGGGAGAGTTGTGTGGGGAAATTAACACTCCACACACAATTGTCCACCCCTGCTCTTAAGGCCCTGAATTGTGTCCCTGAGTCAGATCCCCAAGTTCCACACCCAAACCAGCTATGGGCTCCAGCAGACCCACCTCTTCCCCGTAGAGGAGAGCCGCACATACAGCTTGCTAGCATCTGGCACCACCTTCTGGAGGAATACTTGCTGGTCATCTCGTTCACCAAAAGGACCTGTACGTAATAAAATACAGAACCCAGGGTCACAGGCATTAAGACTAAGAAGACGTAGGAAGGAAGTCCAGAAGCCCCCAGGGGTCAGCCTCTTCCTTCCCCCAGCCAGCCCTACCTACCAATGTCTGTGCCAGTGCTGCAGCCCCCATGTCCATCCATGGACTCCAGGGCTAAGATCTTGAAGGAGGCCAGTGGGGTGGAGCCAGGCTGGGTGGAAATCATCCCACGGAACCGGGTCACTGTCCAGGTACGGACGTGATTGTTGTCAGCACATACTAGGAAAAAAAATGGGGGATGAAGATGGATGTTAGAATGAAACATGGGGACAGAAGTCTTTTCAGATCACGCTACCCTCATTCGATTAAGGTTTGTCAGCCATTCTATGCCCTACCACACACACATCCATAACCATACAGGCCCATTACCTGAGATGAGGTGCCTCTCTGAAAGCATCACCTTGGTGACAGGGCTGCGGTGGACAGCAAAGGTCTGGAAGAGCTGGGGCCCTGACCCCACAGTCTCTGGGTGTTTGACAATCACCCGCACCATCCCTGAGCTGGTGCCATAGGCAATCTCAATCCAATTTCCGCTGTCGCCTGTGCAATGAAGCAAAGTACTACGTCTGAGGACATCAATGGTGTATGGGTCACACTCCTATAGACAAAAATGCTTAATCTTATGTGCCTTCAAGTCAACTGTGACTTATGGTGACCCTATCATAGGGTTTTCTTGGCAAGATTTATTTAGAGGTTTGTCATTGTCTTCCTTTTAGGCTGCGAGAGCGTGACTTGCCCAAGGTCACCCAGTGGATATCCATGGCTGAGTGAGGATTTGAACCCTGGTTTCCCAGAGTCATAGTCCAGCATTCAAACCACTATACCACACTGGCTCTTCCTGTTCTGGAAGTGAGATCAAACCAACTAGGATCTGGGATGTCAGGTAGGACAAAATGAGGCAAAAGAACCAAGGACTGAGTGGGAGGGACAAGGTAGGTGTTTGAGCAAACAGAGAGGGAAAACAGTGCAGTGTTCCTGCATTTGAACCCATGCTCTGCTTTAAGCTTGGAGGACTCCTTACTGCATTTCGGTGTTAGATAGACGCTAAGTGCAGTGATGGCATCCTCAGAGGGATCACGGTACAGCTCTGTCACGAGAAGGTCATTGTCCTTCATGCGCAGTGGGAACTTCTGCACATCTGTTTGGAACAAGGAGAGAAAGCCACATGGGGCAGGTGATCAGCTGGGCCAACCCAAGTTTCAGTAACTGGGCCCTTGTCTGCCCTCTCTGCACATCACCCTAACAGTAATTAAGCCTCATTTCCTGAGAAACCCTGGCTGTGACCTCCATGCCGAAAACTGGAGCCCTGCCATTCAACTTTTCCCCTCGTCCCAACTTACCTACATAGTAGATAGAGCCATTGTTGCATCCCAGGAGCAAGAAGGAACCAGCAGCATCATAGCTGTTGATTGGGACCATTTCCTGAGTCTATGGAGGCACAGAGGAGAACTGTCAAGGGTGAGACCAAGTGGATGGGTGGTGAGCTGAAACAGGGCTGTGGACAGCCAGGCTTTCAAGCTCTGCTTTTCACTCACTGTCCCCTATTATCCTGAGAAATAGCAATGAGGAGCCAGAGTGGATTAGCCCCACAATGCATTACTGGACCTGGGGAAGAGTCATGATGGGGAAGAAGTTATGAGAAGAAAGAATTTTCCTTGTCTGCACAAGGCTGTTAAGTGGAATGTCCCACAAATTTAGTGCTGAGCTTCTAAGCCTTGAAGCAGCCTGCTCTATTCTCCCCACTCACAGAAATTTCCCTTGGCCAGATGCTGCCAGCAAATTCTTAGCCCTACAAAAGGCTGATACGACAGGGCAGAATTCATCCCACCTGTCCCTCTCCCTCACCTGCCAGTGTTTGGTGACAGCGTTCCAGACACCAATCTTGCCTGTGTGGCTGGTGGCAATGAGCTGGCTGCCCACAAAGAATAGGCCTTCCACAGGAACTCCCAAGTGGAACACACCTAATTATTAACAAGGAGATACAGAGAATTGGGAGAAGAATGTGAGAAGAGCAAGGGAACCATATGTGACCAAAGTAGCCTTGCCTAGGCCAGTTCTTAGTTCCCATAGGAGCCAGCCAGTGACCTCCAAGAGAAGACCATCAGAAGATTTGAGTATCTTTATGTTTTAACTGCATCTTGTTGTGAGCTACCTTGAATCCCTTTTGGGGGATAAAGACTAAACATCCAACAGAAAAAATTAACATGCGAAGGTGTTTTGACCATGAACATAAAACTCTTCAAGGGATCACACTCTATATCTAGATTTAGCTAACTCCCTTTTATAGATATCTTGTCTCATTGCTAGACTTCATGTGGCAGGAAGTTCCATAAGAGGAAGTCCAACATACTTGCCTTCCTCCCAAATGTGCTGGGGAACCCCTAAATCCTCAACAGACATATAACCTACTAAAAGGGGACTAGCTGAGTTTGGAAGCGGGGGCAGGGTTTGACATAAAGCCACCAGAAGGACTAGAAACCTCTCACCCCGCCCTAGTCCATGGATGCTGAAACTGCCAAAATGGAAAGATTTTACCCAGCTACAGGCAAGACCATGTGCCTGAAACATCAACAGTGGCAGCCAAAATATATGCTGGTACTAGGAACATTCCTTCTGCTCTGCCCTAGCTTTCTTTGGGTTCCTCACCAATCTCATTCCCATTTCCATCAGACTGGAGAGCCCACAGGAGGATCTCGCTGCAGGAAGCAGCAGCCACCATCTTGTCACTGTCACCCAAGGAGCCACCAAGCACCCGAGCATTCAATGCCACCCGTTCGATGACCCAGTCCAGCCGGGGACTGCAGAACACCAGCTGCCAACCAGAGGTCTCTTTCATCCTGTGAAGCAAAGATTGCCATCAGACTGTGGACCAACAGAAGACAGATCTCTCTGATCCACCACCACATCTCCTGTTGAATCTTCCAATATGGCATGTACCTGTAACAGACGAGGAACTGAGCATAGGCCACTGCTATCCAATTGTGGTGCCCACACACAAGACGCACCATGCCTGGGTCATTTGCAGTTCCTGGAAGGGAAAAATAAGACATATAAAAGCTCTGAGAAAAGACTCTTTCACTCTGACATCTACTAGAATTCTTCCTGAAACTGAACTTGGGTCTGATAGGGACAATGGTATTCCCATTGGCCACTTCAAGATATACTTTTGTTGTGATGTCTCCATTAGGAGGCAAAATTCACAGCCCAATAGAAATCCTCAGTCTTCAGATTTGGATTACAAACATACAAAATTTCAGCTTTCCTGCTGGTGTGGAAGTATAATAACCAGATCTCCTTCCAAGTTCCCCATTTTGAAAAAAGAGATATATATATAAATATCCTGGTTTCCCAGGAACTAGTATGATCTTTGAAGCATTCAGATGGATAGAAAAACAGCTGTGGTATTTCTATAGCACAAGCAAACTGGAAATTTAGTAGGCACGCAATCCACCACCTGGTCCAAGAGAATTTGCCTCCCTACTGGTATTAAAGGTTGGGTCTTATCTGGAATTCCAAATCCAAAATATCTCCCCAAAACAAAATATTTTTCATAGGTGGCTGAGATAGTGACACTTTTGCTTTCTGATAGTTCAGTGTACATAACCTGTTTCATCCACCTAATTGCGAAAAATATTGTATAAAGTTACCTTCAGGTTATGTGCACGAGGTGGAATATGAAACATAAATGAATTTTCTATTTAGACTTGGGTCCCATCCCCAAATATCTCATTATGTACATACATGCAAAAACATATATTCAAAAATAAAATAAAAAATCTGAAATGCAGAACTCTTCTGGTCCCAAGCATTTTGGATAAAGGAGACTCAACCTGCATTTCCATTAAATAGCCTGAGAAAGTCACAACTGAGTTGGAGTTGGAGAAGAATGACTCACCCAAAGTATCTCAGGCTCTGGCCCTAGTCCTCACTTGCTATCATGCTACACCAGGGGTGGACAACTGCAGAAGAGGTGGGGGCCATCCTCCTTGGCAGGCTACATTGGTATGGCCAACACGACTCCAGTTTCCCTTTCAATTGCCTCTATTTCAGGCAATTAAGTTTCGGGGTGTGTGGAGGCAACACCATCACATATTGCAATGGTTTTGACCCATTTTGGGAAGCATGTTGGGAGAAAATCTCCCAGGAGGGAAAAAAAAAAATTAAAATGGGGAGGACATGATCTGAGGGCTTTAGGATCCACAAATTGGGGCCTTGAGGGCCAAATATGGCCCATGGGCCACACTTTGCTCACTACCTACTCTCCTTCCTTGTGCAGCACATACCTGGCCCTGAGCTCCTCTCCTCCAGCAGCCGCCCCAGAAGTCCAGCATTTCCAAGATTGGGGGGCATGGTATTGCTCCGGCGCACAAAGTGCCGCTCTACGAGGTTCTCTGACCGGGCAGCCAACTGTGCCCCTGTGACACTGTGGCGGTTCCACCGTTTGGCAGGAAACACTAGAAGGAAAAAGAAGATGCCACTGGCTGGCATTAGGCACATTCCTGAGTCCCAGAGTCTCCTGTGACCTTAAATTAGAGAGTCTGACACGTTACATGTCCTTTTCAAGGCTCAGATTATTTGAAGGACCATATTCTCCCATACAAACCTGCCCATATTTTGAGACATGTGGGGACCCTTCTCTTTGTCCTATCACCCTCACAGATATATCTGGTGGGAACATAGGAGAGGGTCTTCTCAGTGGTTGACCCCAACTTTGGAACTCCCCAGAGAGGTTAGGCTAGTACCCTCATATGTTTTTGTAAGCTGACAGAAGACCTTCTTGTTCCAGTGAGTTCTGGAAAATTGCATTTTCAGGGGGAAATGGACCTTGCAAAATGTGTTATTGTTGGGTTTTTTAATCTGTTTTGCTTTTAATGGTTTATGCTGTCGAATTGTTTAACCTTTTATACTTTTTAACCTTTTATACTGTGAATTTTATCTATGTTTGAAATGTAATCCATCCTAAATCCCAAACTGAAAAAGGCAGGATACAAATATAACAACAACAGCAATGTGAACCTGCCCTGTACCTGGTGGGGGCAAGTAGCCATTGAAAAGAACGCTTCCACAGGATGATCGTTCCAGCTCTTCATGCAGCTGCAGGCGGCGCACTAGAGAACATGAAATGAAGAAAGGAGATCAGACAAGGAAGGAAGCACCTGTCTCTGGATACCAACTGCTGTTATCCACACAACATGGCTCCCCTTCCAGAGTTGGGTGGAACAAAGGTGCACTATGAAACATCCCAAAGGATTCAACTGGCCTGGGACCACAAACCACATTATCTCCTTCCGACACACACACACTGCCTCCCAGACTTTGCACTCTTCTGAATGCCCCTCCCTCAAGGCAAGGGCATACCTAGAGGTGTGATCCCATAGAACTGTGCTTCATGCAACAGCAAGGAAATGTTGGTCCTCCTGTAAGATTAAAATGGAGGAGTAATGATGAAGCTTTCCCCACGATAACTCATAGCTTAAAAAAGGCAACAGGGAACCAGAGGATCATAGGCTGGCGTTACAGCTCACTCGCTGATCCTTCCCCAGCCTACAGGCAGACTGCCTGGGCCATCTCATCGCACCTGATGTCAAGTTCTTTGGTCCGGAGAAAGTTTAGAATAGGGGCAAAGACTTCGGGATCTCGGTCAATGAAGATCTAGAAGGAAAGAAAAAGACTAGTGTTTAGCTAGAGTTTGTTTTTATCTTTTTGCTACATGAATAGCTTACAGCTTGGATAGTTCTTCTATTATACATCACACACTTAGCTTCACTGGGTAGTGCCTAACACAAAGAAAGAAAATCTGCCTCTTCTATTTGCTGAGGCAATGCAAGAGGAT